GCAGTCCGCCTGCCCTCAGGGCGTCGTGTGTCACACCCTCCTCCACTCTGTGCTACTACCTGGGTCGTGGGCATGGAGAGGGTGCACCCATTTGCCCATCCTCACTAGATAGTGCTGCCCACAGGTGGATGGTGCCCATCCCTGGAATGATGACCACAGACCCCCCCAGAAGGGCACATATATAGCCGGTCCTGCTTCCTGCCACTGGTGTCTGGAGGCAACACAGCCTACACCATCCACAGGCCCCTCCGCCTGGTCACTCCACCAGAAACAAAATAATCCCTGCCTCCTCTAAAAAGCGTCGAATATGCCCTGAGACGCAAGGCCTTGCCAAAGTTCTGTTTCTAATATTTAGTGCTGCACTCCCTCCAGAGCCTTGCCCAGAGCGCCGGGCCTTCTGGCAAACCACAGGATTCGCTTAGAGCCCACGCTTGTCCTCCCCTGAAACTCCAGATTATTTTCCACGGCTCCCAGCAGCCCTGCGGTTGCCTGAAGAGGTGCCCCAGAGCTTGCTTGGAGACCATGTGAGCTCCCTTCTGTAGAGCAGGTGACCGTCGCGCATGAGCTGTTGCCAGGACTCCCATCTTCACAGCTCAGGGTTGGGGGCATCTCCCTTGGCCTTGTAACAGCTCTCAGAGACCCACTTGGCCTTTCAAAGTCCTAGCAGCCTCGTCAAGTTTATCCCAGCCACGCTCCTTGTCCCCGTTCATCTCTTCTTCCATCTTCTCTCACAAATCTATCTACCCACAAAACCTAGAATATGCTGGAGCAAGACAGCTGGAAGGCGAAGAGTCTTAACAAAATTGTCTTCGAAATCCCTGCTCCCCTGGCTTTTCCTCTCGCTTTCCCCTCTCCTACCTGAAGAGGGCCGCGGAGAGTCAAGAACACAGAATTTCAAGGCTGGAAGAGCCTCGGGGATCATCTTGTTAGTAATGGTACATCTTCTAACCATGGCAGCCAGTTCTTACCCAGCGCTTCCTCTGTGCCATCCGCTGTCCCTCGTGCTTTACGAAGGCCATTCATCTCCACAGCAGCTCTGCGAGGCGGGTGCTGTTATGACCATCCGGAGGAAACCAGGGCCCCAAGAAGCTAAGCAACTTGCCCAGGGTCATTTGCACAGCTAGGAAGGGGCGGAGCCCCAGCACCCATGGCCTGAATCATCGGGCTAGACTGCTGCTCTAAGGGTCCCTGAAGCCAAAGAAAGGAAGTCAGTCGCCCTGAAGTCACCCGCTATGTAGCAGAGCAAAAAAGCTCTCCTGTCTCCTGACATTGAGGAATGTGTGAGGACTTTGGTCCCAAAGAGCTGGAGTTTCAGTGAGAATCCCTTTCACTGGTGGGGTCCCTACTGCGTGCCAGGCACTTGTACCTTACAAAAGCTTTGAAACGGGCGCCACTGACATTCCCATTGTGCAGATGAGGAAAACCCAACTTCCAAAAGTAGTTCAGGCAGCCTTTCAGGCCACACTGTAGGGTGCTTGTTAAGGATGGTTATGCTTTACAAAGAGAAGCATAAATACAATACATGTGCTAATTACATATTTTCCAAGATAGCTATAAAAGAGCCGCTGTCTATGGCATGCCTGTAATTATTCTTCGAGTCTCACAACAGGCCCTGGGGGTAAATATTATCCAGTGTTCAGATGAGGAAATTAGGCTTGTAAATATTGAGTATATTATCCAAGGGGTTAGGAAGCAGCAGGGTGAAGATGCAAATCTAAATATGATTCTGAAGTCTAAGCTCTTTAACTACCTTTCTTCAAGGATGTGCGCGCGCGCTGTTTCCGGTGCTCGAATTCTATGGACTGGGGGAGGGAAAAGACCCGTCCCTCCGGAAGGCATGGCTGTGTTCTGCCCTCAGGTGACAGACTTCAGTCCCTACAAAACTGTAGCCACGAGAATGCCATTTGCAGGCCTGCCTGTCCCCAAACGTCTCTCCTATCTGAGGTGGAAAACAGCCAGCCCCCAAGCCATTGCCCTAGTAATATTTTCAGTTTGATTTGTACCCACTGAATTCACTGAGGCATGATTACTTCTCACAGCCTCCAAGATTGGAGGCCCCAATCTTGACCCCTGGATTTTCCTACTCTCCCGACTTCAAAGGAAATAGAGAGGACATGATGGAAATGTTGAACCTGTTTGTGAGCAGGTCTAGAGCAATTCTGAGTGCAGAGTGGAAATTCTCCAAGTCAGGCAGGGGCGGGGAGCAAAGCTTCACCAAGGCTTCGGGAGAGAGGAGGGTGAGTGTGGGGAGGGGCCGCAGGGGTGAAATACCTCAGCAGAGCAGGCAGTGAGCCCTGTGGCCTCCGTCATCTCCTGAAAACTTTACAGGTGGGGGTTTCACTTTGAACGGGTTATGTGAGCAGCCCTGAAAGCAGCCGGCAAAAGTGCACGTAAAATTAATGATTTCATTTGTTGTAGGGATGCTTCTAAGGACAGTCACCCATTTAGGGACTTCTTTCTAAAGCCCGTAGGAATTTCTCTTAAAAACTAGTGTGAGATGTGAAAACTGGTGAAGTTCCAGTAAAGTCTGTATTTGAGCTAATAGTATTTGAACTATGAACTATGTCAGATTCCTGATTCTGCTCATGGTGGATGGTTATGTAATATATCATCACTAGGCAAAGCTACATGAAGATAACACAGGAACTCTCTGGACTATTTTTGCAACTTCTTGCAAGTCTTAAACTATTTCAAAATAAAAGTTATAAATTGTAAGAAAAGAAAAGTTACTAGAAAGAGCATTACTTTCCCTAAAAATTCTAGTATATAACTTCTCTGATGGTGATAATCCTGATGCAGAATAAACCTCCATTTTTCTTTGGCTACTGGGAAGCTTAAAATTCATTCTGGGAACTCCAAGGCCCTTCTGGCCTATATATTTATGTTCTTTCTCTAGATATTGACTTTCTATTCTTTCTTTTTTAAGATTTATTTATTCATTTGAGAGACAGAGAGAGAACGAGAGTGAGCACTTGCATGGGGAGGGGCAGAGGGAGAGGGAGAGAATCTCAAGCAGACTCCTGATTGAGCACAGAGCCTGATGTGGGGCTCCATCTCACCACCCTGAGATCATGACCTGAGCAGAAATCAAGAGTCGGACGCTCAGTTGACTGAGCCGCCCAGGTGCCCCTTGACTTTCTATTACTTATATTTCCCTCCTCCTGACTTTTCATCCTTACTTTTATATTACCATTATTTTATTGTGCAGATTCCTTGTGAGTGACTTCAAATCCTTTATGGAAAGAAATAGGGCATTAATATATAAATTAATAAAATAATTGATGGCTAGTTTATGAGATATTCGTATGTTTGGGATTTTTTTTTTCAATCTAGGATTTCTGTTTTACTGTTACCTTAAAGCACTTACCTTGTATCACCCCTCCACCTCCTGGCAGAAGATTCTTGCCTGGAGTCACACGCAGGGGTCTTGCACATTGAGAGTCTCAGCCTTGGTTAGGACTGTACTAGGCAGAGAGATGCTCAGCTGAGGAGCAGCATGGCATTTCCCTCCAGCTGGGCCAGCTTTAGTCTGGTGGTCAGTCTGCGGGCAGTTCTACCTTCACAATTGCCTTCAGGTGTTGGAAGTTTGAGGTCCTTGAGCCAACCCCTACTCAAATGCCAATCCTCCTCCAGGGAGGGACATTTAGAAGCTACCTAGAAAAAAAAAGCGTCTTTTGTGAACAATTGTGAGCCACACACTGCTCTGAGCAACCTGTTGTTATTATAATTCTTTCCACTGTGGTCTCACTCACAACTCTCAGCAGATGAAATGCAAAGCAAATGGGGAGCATGCTATTCATCTGCAAAGGAAGGAGGGAACTGGACAGGCTCCTGACAGGGGTGGTACCTCCCACCCCTACCTCTCCAGCCACAAACCAGCAGAGGGGAAAGGGCAGGTAGCTTGGAAGCTCTGCCACTTACCGGCACTGTGAGCTTTGATAAGTCTTGTCCACTCTCTGAGCCTCAGTTTCCTTATCCACAAAATGGGGGTAAGTGCCCAAACCAAAGACTTATTTTAGTGTAAACAAGCAGTAATATGTGTAGAGGACTTAGCACAGTATCTGGCATATTGTTGGCACTCACAAATGTTCAATCCTTGCCCTTCTTCAAGAACAATAATCATACTTAACCTTTATTATGTGCTAGGTGCTGTAGACACAAAAATAAAGAAAATAGTGTTTCTGCCCTTAAATGAATGACAATGCGTGTTCATAGGATACTCACTATGTACCTCCTATTTAAGCCTTACAACAGCTCTATGAGGTTGGTGATGTCATTCACTCCCATTTTACAGGTTAGAACAGTTGTTTGCTGGGAATAGTGGCAATACCTCTCAACTGCTATGAGAGAGGCATGGATTAAACATTGCTCCTGGGATTTGAGGATTGGGAGACAGTAGACAGCACTACTGTGAGGGTGTGATGGGTTCTCTTTCCATGGAAATTTCAAGCAAACCCAGGGGGTGGGGGGAGGCTACCTGGTTAAAGCAGCCCTGGCCAGGGCCTAGGGAGTGTGTTAGAGGATGTCCAATGCTCCTTTTGGTCTTCTCTTCCCATGGCTCCCTGGTTCTCTTCCCTGCAGGTGTCTACAGCAGTACCCCGGGGACAGCCTGCCCACAGCCAGCGTCATCCTCTGTTTCCACGACGAGGCCTGGTCCACCCTCCTGAGGACTGTGCACAGCATCCTTGACACAGTGCCCAGGGCCTTTCTGAAGGAGATCATCTTGGTGGATGACCTCAGCCAGCAAGGTGGCTATGGGCTCCTCCCAGCTCCTCGAGTGGGCCTAGACCCTGGGGGGTTCCCATGCAAAGACTAGGGTTTAGAGCCTGTAGAGGCAAGGTTCCCAGAAGCATACCTCCAGATGAGGATTCAGGTGCAGGTAACTCATTAGTGAAGAGCCCCAGGGGTACCTGGTGAGGAAGTAGGGAGAGAAGACATAGAAGGCAAAGCAGCCAAACAAGGCAAGGAGGTCCCAGCGAGGATCTCAGGAGGGTTGCTCCAGCCTGATCCCAGCGGGATCTCTCCCAGTCTCAACCTCCACACAGTCCAATATGCTTCTTCCCAAGACACTCAAGAATCACAGCAGGGTGGCCATTCCTTAGTGCTCACTGCCTCCTAGACACTGGGTAAAGCACTCGACATGTATTAGTCACTAAATCATTCCTGTTTAGCCTGATCCATTCATTTTCCAGACGGAGGAAGCTGAGGCCTAGAGAAGAGAATTGACCAGGACTGAGTCAGGCCCAGAGCCCAGACTTGCAAAATCTGCTCAAATGTTTCCACTGACAGGAAACACTACTAGGGACCAGCCCCTTGCCTGGCTGAGTTTGCTAAAAGAAGATGCAGACAGAAGAAGGTTCTAGGTCAGTGGTTCTCAAGCTTGAATGTACATCAGAATTGTCTGGCAGGCTTATTAAAACACTGATTGCTAGGATCTCCCCCAGAGTTTCTGGATCTGGTACTGGGCCCCCATGAATCTGCATTTCTAACAGGGTCTCAGGTGATACAGATGATGCTGGTCTGTGGACGACACTTTGAGAACCACTGCTTTTCTTCGGCTGGGGCCTCAGGCTTTATTTCTGGCTCAACCAAATGGCCCGTAGAGGTCCCCCCCTCACCGGCCCTGTGGGGAGAACAGACTGCTCCAAGGGAAACTGAACACTTGCTGAGGGCTGAAAAACACCCTTCTAAGGGGAATGACAGAAGACAGTCTCGAGTAGCCACCGGCCTCTGCTAGTTCTTCTGAAGGGCCTCATGTTGGGAATTTGCCCAGCCCGGGCATGGCAGTGAATCAGACTAGCCAGAGGCCCCAGAAGCATGTGAGGTTACTGAGGTACAGACGGCTGCGTATTAGGCCGGACGGGCGAGCAGTTCCTGGACTGGGCTGTGTTGGCTGGTGGAAGTACCCACAGACTCTCCGAACTCTCGGCTGTGCTGGAGTCCTCCCAAGAGCACATCTGTGGTTCCTCCCCCGTCAGACTATGAACTGTGTTATGTGAGTGACCCTTGGTAGCCTTCCCTTCTCCTTGTGTGTGTAGAAGCCGAGGAGCTGGGCCCCAGGGCAGTGGGGTCCTCCAATGTCCTCAGCATCTTCTTTTTTTTAATACTCTCGCCCTTTAAAAAAAAAAGATTTTATTTATTTACTTGAGAGGGAGAGACAGAAAAAGCAAGAACAGGGAGGAGGGGGAGAGGGAGAGGGAGAAGCAGACTCCCTACTTAGCAGGGATCCTGAAATGGGGCTGACCCCGAGAGTGTGACCTGAGCAGAGGCTTAACCGACTGAGCCACCCTGGTGCCCCGTCCTCAGCATCTTCTGCCTTCCACTTAGCCCTACTTGGAGTGTGGCATTTGGCCTCCTAATCCAACGAGGCTACTCTACCTCTGCACATCAGTCACACTGCAAGCAGGAAAGGGTGAAATGCTGAGGTCAGCCAAGTTTGTCCTTTAGAAAAAAATCCATAAAACAAGAGTTTTTCCAGAATCTTCTTACCTATTGTATTTCCACCAGAGTTAGATTAAAAGACGATTACTAACAGCAAGAGAGTCTTGGTAGGTTAGTGCTTTTAGCTGCCCTGAACAAAATCAAGTTTCTGCTAGTAAGGTAGAAGAGGAGAATGAATGTTGGACAAGACAACTAGCAGTTCTCAGTATAGTGGGGTCACCGAGGGGCTGGTTCTCACACATCCAAGTTCAGAAATTTTAATTTGCTAACAGAGGTCCTTCTCTAGGGAATGGACTTGGGACTAACAAACTTATCAGAAAAATAATTATAAAGTAATCGGCATAATATTTTACCACCAAGAAATTCAACAGCCAATGACTGGGAATCCTTATGTCCACTGCTCAGGACAGTTTCCTCTGGAGAAAAGTCTCCCCAAGGAGTCACATGCTGCTCAGAAGGCAGCTCTCCAGGGAGTCTGGTAGGGCCTTCACGTAAGGCTGCCTGAGCCTTCCCGAACTCCCTGGAGACCCAGCTACCAAAGTAGCAAGACTATGTGTATTCCCATCAAGACTGCCTCTGGGCTGGAGAACCAGGGAAACTCTTGCTCTTCGGCACGGTTCTGTTCAACACACACGTACTGAGCGCCTACCATGGGCCAGCCCTGTGCTAGGGATCAGAGCAGTGGAAATGCATGAGGTATAATCCCTGCCCTGAGATCTTAGTTCAGTGGACTAGGGGCAGCCCATTTCCAAGACTTCATGAAGGACACTACTTCTCCATGAATGCATTATTCCTTCTTTCTCCACTAGCTTGTTCATCTTGAAGTATGCATATGTGTGTGTGTGTATGTGCATGTGTGTGTTTAAGACAAGAAAGCTCTTAAACACAAAACCTAATAAGCTTCTCCCTTTACCCCCTCTAGAATCATTGTTCCTAAAAGAATGTCTAGACTCTTGGTCTCGGTTTTTCACGTCCCACTTTCTCTTCAACCCACTGCATTGCCTATCCACCCCTACCATTACAATGAAACCCTTTGGCCCGCACCACCAATGATCTACCAGTGGCCACATTTAATGGACCTCTGTCTTTGACATCCTTGACCACTGCCTTAGGTCAGATTTCTTTAGCAGAGCCTGAGATGGGATTCATGTGCTTGTGATTTTTAGGGGGTGTACTCTCAGGGGAAGCCTATAGGAAAGTAGGGGAAGCAAGAGAGGCAGAGGAAGGAACTGAGCCAAGATGAGGTTTCGGATGAAGTCCAGCCACAGCCTGATCCCATGGACAGCTCTGCAGTGCCAACTGCATCTCAGAATCTGTCCTGCCTTGAGGCAAGGGAGTGGGCTTTGGTAGCCCTGCACGGGTTGGTCATTGACCCTGTGCACCTGGGGCCAGGGGCAGCATTCTGCAGGACTCTCTGGCATTCACAGGAGAAGCAGTTCTATACCCAAGGGCATGTCCCCAGAGAAGGGTGCAGACTAGTTAGCAGCAAACCTACAGCTGCTGGGCACGTACAAACCAAACCAAACCTAAGAAGGGACCCTAGGTCATCTGAGTCGGGCACCAACAGAATCTGCATAACCCACTGCTGCATTTAGAGAATATTAGCCATTCCTCTCCTCTCTGGGTTTATGGCACCATCTCTCCTGGATTTTACTGGAGGGAACACCGACCCACCCCAAACTAATGAAGCAACTTACATCTTAGCAACAGCCACAATGTGATGTATCTGAGTCTCAGGACCCTGGTGCTCACCACAGCTCCCAAGAGAGAATTGCTGACAATGATCCTAGTGATGGTCATCACACTCTCATTGGCTGTGGCATCTGTGACCCCACTGACCACAACTTTGTTGATTCCAGGGCAACTCAAGTCTTCTCTCAGCGAATATGTGGCCAGGCTGGAGGGGGTGAAGTTGCTCAGGAGCAACAAGAGGCTGGGTGCCATCAGGGCCCGGATGCTGGGGGCCACCAGGGCCACCGGGGATGTGCTGGTCTTCATGGATTCCCACTGTGAGTGCCACCCTGGCTGGCTGGAGCCCCTCCTCAGCAGAATAGC